CCCAAAATCCCCCCAAAAAAATCCCAAAAATTTGGGATTGGGGATCGGGGGGTTCCGGAATTCCCAAAAATTCCCAAAATTCTCCTGAGATTTGCGCCGAATCTGCCAAAATCTGCCCAAAATTCATCCAAAAAATCCAGCCCTGAACCCCAAAATTCACCCAAAATCGGGCAAATTGGACATTTTGGGATTCCAGGGGAAATTTTGGGCCATTTTGGGGACATTTTGGTGACATTTTGGGACATTTTGGCCATTTTGGGGCCATTTTGGTGAAATTTTGGGACGTTTTGAGGACATTTTGGGGACATTTGGGGCCATTTGGGTGACATTTGGGACATTTTGGTGACATTTTGGGGACATTTGGGGCCATTTTTGGGACATTTTGGGCCATTTTGGGGCTATTTGGGGCCATTTTGGGAGATTTGGGGCCATTTCGGGCTATTTTGGGGACATTTGGGGCAATTTTGGGGCCTTTTTGGGGACATTTTTGGGCCATTTTGGGGCCATTTTGGGCCATTTTGGGTCCATTTTGGGGCCATTTTGGACCATTTTGGGGACATTTCGGTCCATTTTGGGCCATTTTTGGACCATTTTGGGTCATTTTTGGACCATTTTGGGGCCATTTTCGGCCATTTTGGTGACATTTTGGTCCATTTTGGGCCATTTCGGGCCCATTTTGGGCCATTTTTGGACCATTTTGGGGACATTTTGGGCCATTTTGGTGCCATTTTGGGTCCATTTTGGGTCCATTTTGGTCCATTTTGGTCCATTTTGGTCCATTTTGGGCCATTTTGGGACCATTTTGGGTCCATTTTGGGCCATTTTGGGTCCATATTGGGTCCATTTTGGACCATTTTGGTCCATTTTGGGGCCATTTTGGTCAATTTGGGACCATTTTGGGTCCATTTTGGGCCATTTTTGGACCATTTGGGGCCATTTTGGGTCCATTTTGGTCCATTTTGGGCCATTTTGGTCCATTTTGGTCCATTTTGGGACCATTTTGGTCCATTTTGGTCCATTTTGGTCCATTTTGGGTCCATTTTGGGACCATTTTGGTCCATTTTGGTCCATTTTGGGGCCATTTTGGGACCATTTTGGTCCATTTTGGTCCATTTTGGGTCCATTTTGGGCCATTTTTGGACCATTTTGGGCCCATTTTAGTCCATTTTGGTCCATTTGGGTCCATTTTGGGCCATTTTGGGACCATTTTGGTCCATTTTGGTCCATTTTTGGACCATTTTGGGCCATTTTTGGACCATTTTGGGCCCATTTTAGTCCATTTTGGTCCATTTTGGACCATTTTGGGGCCATTTTGGTCAATTTGGGTCCATTTTGGGGCCATTTTTGGACCATTTTGGGCCATTTTTGGGCCATTTTGGTCCATTTTGGACCATTTTGGGGCCATTTGGTGCCATTTTGGCTCCGCCGCCATTGGCGGCTCCCGAACTCACCCTGCAGGAGCCCGAGGAGCAGCGGCAGCAACATGGCGGCGCTTCGGCAATTTCCGGACACCTTCGGCTCTTTCCGGCGCCCCTGCGCTCACTTCCGGCCCGCTCCGCTTCCTCCCCCCCCTCTTCGGCAATTTCCGGACACCTTCGGCTCTTTCCGGCGCGCTGCCGCTTTCCCCAGCCCAGTTCAGCCCAGTTCAGCCCAGTTCAGCCCAGTTCAGCCCAGTTCAGCCCAGTTCAGCCCAGTTCAGCGCCTCCGTCCCCCTCACCCCTCTCGGGCCGGCCCATGGGCGCCTCCCCCGCCGCAGGAGGAGGACGAGGAGGAGGAGGAGGAGGAGGAAGAGGCCGGGACGGGTCGGCGGAGCCGCTTCAAGGCATGGCCGGACCCCGCGGCGGGTCCGCTGCGCTTCCGCTCCGGGGCCGCCCTTCGGCTCTTTCCGCCGCTCTCCTTCGGCTCTTTCCGCCGCTCTCCTTCGGCTCTTTCCTCCGCCTTCCTTCGGCTCTTTCCGCCTTCCTTCGGCTCTTTCCGCCGCTCTCCTTCGGCTCTTCCCGCCGCCCTCCTTCGGCTCTTCCCGCCGCTCTCCTTCGGCTCTTCCCGCCGCCTCCCTTCGGCTCTTTCCGCCGCCCTCCTTCGGCTCTTTCCGCCGCTCTCCTTCGGCTCTTTCCGCCGCTCTCCTTCGGCTCTTCCCGCCGCTCTCCTTCGGCTCTTCCCGCCGCTCTCCTTCGGCTCTTCCCGCCGCTCTCCTTCGGCTCTTTCCGCCGCTCTCCTTCGGCTCTTTCCGCCGCTCTCCTTCGGCTCTTCCCGCCTCCCTTCGGCTCTTTCCTCCGCCTCCCTTCGGCTCTTCCCGCCGCTCTCCTTCGGCTCTTCCCGCCTCCCTNCGGCTCTTTCCGCCTCCCTTCGGCTCTTCCCGCCGCTCTCCTTCGGCTCTTCCCGCCGCTCTCGTTCGGCTCTTTCCGCCGCCCTTCGGCTCTTCCCGCCGCTCTCCTTCGGCTCTTTCCGCCGCTCTCCTTCGGCTCTTTCCGCTCTCCTTCGGCTCTTCCCGCCGCTCTCGTTCGGCTCTTTCCGCTCTCCTTCGGCTCTTCCCGCCGCTCTCCTTCGGCTCTTTCCGCCGCTCTCCTTCGGCTCTTCCCGCCGCTCTCCTTCGGCTCTTTCCGCTCTCCTTCGGCTCTTCCCGCCGCTCTCCTTCGGCTCTTCCCGCCTCCCTCCTTCGGCTCTTTCCGCCTCCCTTCGGCTCTTTCCGCCTCCCTTCGGCTCTTTCCGCCGCTCTCCTTCGGCTCTTTCCGCCTCTTCCCGGCTCCGCTCGGGCCCGGCGCACTGCGGTGCCCGAGGGAGGGGGCGTGGCCGGTGGTATGACGTCATATAGGTGGGCGTGGCTTAACGGAATTGCCGCCCCCCCCCAGCCCACCACCAAGGTGGCCCCGAAAGGGTCGCGAGGTCCCCAAGGCCACCGCCAATGTCCCCGAGGTGTCCCCAATGTCCTCGAGGTGTCCCCA